TACGGCAACGGGGAAATGGAATATGTCTGTCTTCATATGTTTTTTCTATCACGACTTATTTCCATGACTTCTTGGTGGACTGGGGACTTGGGAGGATTCGGGGATGTTTGAGCGGTTTTTGTTCGGTTTAACCGCTCTTGCATGAGAGGACCGGGCTAGAGGAATTTGGGAAAATGACCTCTGGTTGTTGTTCCGGTGCCTTGATGATATGTTTTTCACTGGCGCTGTCCTGCACGGCTGGAAAAAATACCTAGCATAGCCAGGAAAATCTACTCAATGATACTGGGTTTCATCTTGTTCAAATCTTTGTTTTTGGGGTCTTGGGGGTTATATTAGCTACGGTGTTCTAACATTGGTCTCACTTTTTCCCAGAGTTATGTTCTCCATACGCAAGACTTGGACGCTGCAAAGGTATACCCAGGAACTGACCCCTTTCTCATATGATCTACATGTAGGGTTTATAGATTTGTAGGCTGATGGCAATATCTTGTCTGATTAGATCGATGTTTGGCGGTAATTCTGAGTGCCAGATAGCCAATGTCCGGGGTAAGCTATCAAAGCCAATATAATATGGACTTCACCACAATACTTCTGACATATAAGCTGCATCGCTCTCAAGTTCCTGGCACCTCAGCTCCTCTCCACGTGCTCCCACGTTTCCAATAACTCTCCGCCATATTTGTCGTTTCGGCCCCAGACTAGTTATCAGTTAGATATTGCTCTGTGCTACCGGTGATAGCCTCGGGGAGTGAGCTTACCATTTCAAATGAAGTTCGTAAGACTCAATTGCCACCAAATTAGCCGCATTGCAGTGTCCTCCCTCGGAAAAGTCTCTTAGGCCATCAAACTTCATTCTTGCGTCAGGCTTCTTGCTTCTCTTTCCTTGTTGAGGGTAGCAATGGACAGGGAAGTATGGGAACAGCGCAATTTCTTTGTGAGTTGAATACGGTTTGTAAATGCGTTCTCACTGCAAGTCCTATATGAACCGCAACCGTTAGCAAAGTATATACAGATCCATCTGATCAAGCCTCCAGGGTTGCGACCCTATCTTCAAACTTCCATCGAAGATTGCCTTTCTTCCTCATTGGCTGTGCATATGCATGGTCAGCCAGAAAGACAACCCTCTCATGGGTCATCATTATCATGAGGTCTCAGGCCTCCAAGACTTGGGATATCTATATCCAGAGTTTCGGGGGTTTGACTATCACCGAAGCGTAGGAGAAGCGTAGGAGAATTTTTCATTTATGTCTATGCCAATCCATAGGTAGTCGATTGAAAAATTCAACGCTCATCGCGTATAAAGTTCGAGGTTCAGCATTTGATATGGATTCAGCTATTCGATCTGAGTTTAGCTCCAGGCCTAGAATCTCCCAATTAGCAATCCGAAGAATGTAGGGAATGGAAAACTTGCCTCTTCATGCGCGTTCTCTTCTCAAATGTCATAATATACCTCTGCAGTCCAGTATATGAGACTTGTCTTGTCGAAGTATTTGTTCAAAAAACAATCCTCTGTAGTGGAAGTCTCAAGTAGCTCGTATCAGAGTTGCTCTTGATATTTCTTTATTTCATTGGGCCATGCCACTGTGTAGCCAACCCTGAAATTGTAGTATCCAAACCGTCATCATTTACGAGCATTGGAAGTTTGGGGGTTTGGGAAGTTTTGAAGGATTTTCCACATGGGAGGGTTCTCTCAAAACATTAACGTTCATAAAAAGGAGGGAGGGAAAACTTGCCTTTGTATATTCATCCCAGCTACCACTGAATAATAGCCGTGGTGCCATTTAGATATAGTCCTGGAATGGTTTCTCTAGAAGGTCATTGGGAATGGAAAACTTACCTCTGCTTTTGTCCCTGAAGCGTATACAGTCTAATCTCAAATATCATAGTAACGCACAGGGAGATTTTACACGAATCTCACTTGATCCAGGCTTCGCATTCATGGGCCTCTGGTTTCTCACGTCAGGTATGGTTTCTCTATCATTTGCCATCCCAGGGGAGGCCACTGAATAGAGATAGCATAACGAATCATCATTCGCGAGTTCTCGGGCTTGTCCATCAATGTACTCGTAGTCATTGCACAACCATCAAATGGCCACAAAGTGTGAGGGACCAGAAGTGCGAAGAATACCTAGATAATTGGAAAGGCGTGGATTGGAAGGATCATACCTGATCGTACAGAACGGAAACCTAGAGCATCTCAGAATCGTTAGCAGGAGCTTCCATTATCACAACACAATAAGGGCTATAGGGTCAGATAAGGAAACAAGCTATGCATCCAAGTTTGTTCCGCATCGTATCAGAGTTCTTTTCAGTATTCTTGTGTCTCTCAACGTGTCCAGTGGAACCAGTCATTTGATAGGCCACAGTCACTTTCAATAAATGCGTTCTCGTCATAACGTGCGAATTGGGTCCATCAAGCACCCATTGTGCTTGTGAGATGAGAGGGTGCTCATATTGAGGTAGGGTAGAGGGTAGATATAGAATGCATACCTAGGTCTCTGGAGAGGGTTAGCGAAACTACTCACATACTTTGTTATAGTGCGAATAGTTAGACCATCTCACCAAACACCTTTTATCTCAACCTAGATCAACTTCGTCCAAAGTTTGTTTTCATCTCATCAGCCTCTGTAGATAGCTCGAGGGGCCATTATATGTGAGCTTCAAGCCCCATATTTCACTTGCAATGGTAGCTTTTCAGATGGTGTTATCGTCATGTGTATGTGTCAATGGGATGAATGCTATATACCTCTCAAATATTAGCGGAATTGGCCCAATGATGCAATGTAGGTAGTAACAGTCACCGTACGATCAACTCCGCAAAGTAGTATTCTGTTGGCCATCAAGCTAATGGGTAAACATCCCACGCTGAGGATTGAGGAAATCCTTGTATCATCGCTTGTAGGATTCGAGTTGAAGACCGACTCGGACTTGAATGCAAAATTCAAGTCACCCCAGGCACAAAGGCCTGATGATCTATCTAAACTGTAGAGAATGTTAGCTGAACTGTTCAAAGATCGGATACAAAACCGTACTGGATAGAGTCCTTCTATTTGCTTTGGCATCAGGTCAATAGATGCTTCCACATATCCGAAGACTTAGCGATGATCTGACGGTCATGATATGCGACAGCACAGGATAAAGAGCTCTCATACTCCTCTAGGGTATAGTGATAAATCAAATTTGCTTACCGTAAATTCCCACGCCAATAATATATCCACATACTGTAAGTACCAGCCTGTCACGCTTGTGTGAAGCGCTGGCTGCTGTTGCGAGATTTGGCGGCGACTATGTTGAAAAACGCTCTGACGCTCTGCACCGAGGTAGAATTAGTCAATGATACTTTTATCATGGGAGTTGCACCCACAAGCTTCAAGGTAGACTCACCAAATCTTTCCTATGAACTGTTGTCAAGTGCATTGTGCTGCGTTATGCCGGACATAGTTCGTTGATGCGACTATCTAAGAGTCAACATGCATGGCCCTAGAAGATTGGATATTAAAACAGCGTGAAAAGGATGGAATTAAGAGAAAACAGATTAAAGATAAGCCGATTGGAACTCTATTGGCTTGCTTGAGATCGGAAAGAATGATAGTGGGTTGGAGATTGGAGACTCGAACACGTAGGAAAGCAAAAGATTAGATTCAACGTGTCGAATTATTAATGTACAATGAAGCATATTAGGTATGGAACTGCTTATACCGTCTCAAAAGGGAAAAGAAAAACGGCTCAACCGCAGTTTCCGGTTCCTGATAGAAGCTAAGTAGACCCGCATAACGAAATGGCTTTCAATGCTGTCCTAGCGAGTATGTCCTAGATATCATGTGCTCCTTCCTCGGTCACTGATAATACCATTGCCGAGCCTGAGGAGGTACCATTTTAGAAAACGTGCGCAGGCAGTACATATCATGACATTGGTTCTAACTCCTATTATTCTTTTGGGGCTAAATTGCACTATCTGGGGCTGATTTCTGTCAGACAAAAGCATACTTCGTGTGATATGAACAATTATCTTAGTATCTGTTAGCTGCATTCCCTAAAGCTAGGAGGGCTACGTACATCCATAATGCACCTTTTAGAAGTGTTGCATGAACCTACCAATTGCCTTGAATACTAAACTCATATTACTAGTATTTCAATCCTTGTTCAGACCTGATGTAAACCCTATGTATCAAAATAAACGGTACAGATTTATACATGCAATATGCCTCTATCCGGGCCATCCATCCATGGTGCCCACATATCACAACATTACAGCCCGCGTTTGCAGTGTGTATACCGATGGTGCTGAAAGACTGGATCTGTAGTCAAGGGCGTACAGGAGCCTGATAATAATGTCGAGCCTGTCTTGTGAGAATGATAAACTGCATATATATGAACATATATGTACATAGTTACAGATCTAGATATTAGGGCACGATGTGATCGCCTGATCTCGGGACGGGTAGATTCGGATGTAGTCGGGTATTCACGGGTGACTATACAGTGCGCGACATGAGTTTTTGTAGCCCGGGGCCATCCCCTGATTATAATATACTGCCAGTAAAAGCCTCTATGAATTCATTTACAAAATTTAGTATGGCGTATACCACCTTTGGTTCTCAATTTTGGTTTCTACACGGTGTAGCATCATTTAAAAAATGCTTTCAGGAGAAATGTGGGCAAATGCCTCTTCTATTGCTTCGCTTACTACCTGAGCGTGCAGGTGGTTTGTATAGCGCGTTTTAGGCAGGCGGTATCAATGTATGGCGGTGAGCTAGGGGGGTCCATATCGACAGGTTCTTATCTGAAAGATCCACCAAAATTTCCTGAGGCAGAAACACTTATACCGCTGACATAATCTCACAGGATCAAACGCGACCCGACGCGTGGTGTTCGCGTGCCTGGATGTATTGCGCGACAATCCGTGAGTTCTCCTTCCCCCGCAGCAACAACCAATTCAATCTACCCTTCTTCACGCACCCGACCCTATTGAATGGGCAGTCATCTCTGAGCGAACTACAATGCCTACGGCTCGTGAAAGATTGGCCGAGCTGAGGGCCCTCCGTGCCTCAGGAAAGAAACGACTTTCCACATATGAGGTTGAGGACCAGGGTGATATCTACGATGAGGTTGATGACGACGGATACAAAAAGGTGATCCGAAACCGTCTTGATCAAGATGATTTCGTCGTCGATGATAACGGTGCCGGTTACGCGGATGATGGCCGCGAGGTTTGGAATGAACAGACAGCAGAATATGACAGCGACGAAAGTGACGAACTACCCACACGAGGCAAGGTTGCCAAGCGAAAAAGGGAAGAGGAACAACAGCGGAAGGAAAAAATAAACAACGGCATATCCAAGTACTTCAACAAAGGACAGGCTGCGGCTTCTGCTCCCAAGCCCAAGGTGAGACCTTTTTGCTCATAGTGTCCAAACCCTTGTTCTGACATTGGAAATTTCAAGGCCGCTGCTACTGCCGAGGATGATGCGTTCATGGCAGATCTCCTCGGGGAAGTCGACACGAACGTTGTATCGAACAACGTCCCAACACGGAATATTGTCAAGTCAGAGGCCCGACGCAAAGTTCGCGTTCTCTCCCCGCCATTGTCTGAGAAGCGTCGCCGTGAAAAGATTCAGGCAAGAGATGAAAATGAAATGCCAAGCTCGCCAATGAAAAATCATGCACTCCACTCTGATGATCTCGATGACGGCCCTCTACCGATGCCAGACGATGATGATGTTCCCATGAGTGATATATTACCTTCCTCTCCAATCAGCAAAGCAGTGGAGCGGAGAAACACTGTACCGGTCAAGGCTGAAGAGCCAGAAGACGATGATGTTGACCTCATGGACGTTGCAGAAGTCACTGGAGACTCCAGCCTCAAAACGAAAACAATCAACATGACTGGCAGCCGGCCACCCCCGAAGATCAAGCATGACATTGCTCCCACACCAGCAAGCTCGTCCCCAGTCAAGTCAATGCCTGAAGTAATGGATGCTTCTTGGAATGACGTGAGGAGCAAACTGAACGTTGTCAGCAGTCCAGCCCCGGAAATGCGATCATTTGGAAAACTGCGCGCCCAGGATGTTGTTGAAGAGGACGGTAGTCTACGCATTTTCTGGCTGGACTATACGGAAGTCAACGGCAGTCTTTGTCTTTTCGGAAAAGTGAAGAACAAGCAGAATGGATCCTACACTAGTGCATTCGTTAAGATTGACAACATCTTGCGAAAGCTTTATTTCCTTCCACGTGAATATCGATACAAGCAGGGACGAGCAACTGAAGAGGAGGTTGACATGCAAGACGTTTACTCGGAGGTCGACGAGATGATGTCAAGGCTTAAGGTTGGCATGCACAAGATGAAACCATGCGAACGGAAGTACGCTTTCGAAATGCCCGGGGTTCCAAAGGAGGCAGAGTATCTGAAGTTACTCTACCCTTACGATAAAGCGGCATTGCCAATGGAAACCAAGGGAGAGACTTTCTCGAATGTTTTCGGTACCAATACCTCCCTATTTGAACAGTTTGTTCTCTGGAAGAACATAATGGGCCCTTGCTGGCTCAAGATCGACCAGGCCGACTTTGCTGCAGTGACCAACGCATCCTGGTGCAAGTTCGAATGCCAGGCCGCCAAACCAGCACTCATCAGCCTCGTCCCAGATTCTGAGAATCTGGACACTCCGCCCTTGACTTTGATGAGTCTCTCTTTCCGTACACAGCTCAATGTCAAGGAGAACAAGCAGGAGATTCTCATAGCGAGTGCTCGAGTATATGAAGATGTCTCTCTAACTGATACCACTCCCCCAGAGAAGCTTCCGTGCAAGACATTCACCGTCATGCGCCCTGTCGGTGGATCATACCCAATGCATTTCGAGGCCGAAGCAGAAAGCCAGCCGGGGAATATTATGCTCGCAAAAAGCGAACAGTTCTTGCTCAGCAAGTTCCTAGCTATGTTCGAGAAGATGGACCCCGATGTGATCATGGGCCATCAGTTACAGGATGTCGACCTGGGCATTCTACTTAGCCGGATGCGTGAAAAGAAGACACCTGGCTGGCATCGTATTGGCCGGCTCAGGCGTGGAGATTGGCCTAAGAATTTCAACAAGGGTGGCAACTTTTTTGCCGAAAGGCAGCTGATTGCTGGAAGATTGATGTGCGATATTGCCAACGACATGGGCAAGGTAATGTGTTCCTCGAAGTGGGTAAATAGCAATGCTAACAGCCACTAGTCTCTCATGATGAAATGTCAATCGTGGAGCTTAACTGAGATGTGCCAACTCTACCTCGGTCAAGGCAATGTCCGCCAGGAACTAGATTCTGAAGCGGCATTGAAGACCTGGGCAACCACCAGAAAAGGTCTCATGAACTTTGTCAATCATTGTGATACAGATACATACTTCATTGCGGCGTTGGTTCTGCGTCTCCAGATGCTTCCACTTACAAAGGTTTTGACCAATACCGCTGGTAATTCGTGGGCACGCACACTCAGCGGTACGCGTGCCGAGCGAAACGAGTATATTTTGCTACACGAGTTCCATCGCAACAAATACATCTGTCCAGATAAGTACTCTTCTCGGCTTCAGAAGGCAGAGGAGAAAATACAAGATGGCGACGATGACGAGGCGGTCGACAAGAAAAAGAAGGACAAATTCAAGGGTGGTCTTGTTTTTGAGCCCGAAAAGGGTCTTTACGACCGCTTCGTCCTTGTTATGGACTTCAACAGTCTGTATCCTAGTATCATCCAGGAATACAACATCTGCTTCACCACAGTGGACCGAACAGCTACGGTAAATTGACCCAAGCAAAGCCCTCGTCTCGTTCGTTTGTTCTAATATATGCAATTAGGCCGAGAATGAGAATGAAGAAAAAGTGCCAGATGTCCCCTCTTCTGACCAAGAACAAGGTGTTCTACCTCGGCTGATCGCGACGCTCGTCAATCGCCGTCGCGAAGTGAAGAAGTTAATGAAAGACAAGCGTGCTACCCCCGAACAACTGGCCCTCTGGGACACAAAACAGTTGGCCTTGAAGTTGACTGCCAATTCCATGTACGGATGCTTGGGATACACGCAGAGTCGATTCTATGCTCGGCCTTTGGCAATGCTCACTACCTTCAAGGGACGTGAGATTCTAAGAAACACCAAGGAATTGGCCGAAAGTCAGCAATTGCGAGTCATTTACGGTGACACTGATTCGGTCATGATCAATACGAATATGGACAACATGAGCGACGCTATCAAGGTTGGCGAAGAGTTCAAGAAATCGGTCAACGAACGTTACAGGCTTCTAGAAATCGATATCGACAATGTCTTCCGTCGACTTCTACTGCATGCCAAGAAGAAGTATGCTGCTGTCAATCTTACCGAGGTAGATGGCAAGTACGTAGAGCAACTTGAGGTCAAGGGCCTTGACATGAAGCGTCGTGAATACTGTGCGCTCTCAAAAGAGGTATCATCAAAGTTGCTCAACGAAATTCTGTCTGGCGAAGATCAGGAAGTCGTGCTTAACAAGATTCACGAGTACTTGCGTGAACTTGCAGAGAAGATGAAAGAATACACGATCCCTGTGCAGAAATACGTGATCTACACTGTATGTGATGTACCCGATAAGATTTTGTTGATCACTGTGCTAACGCTTTTTCAGAAACTTTCAAAGCGACCTCAGGAATACCCTAATAAAGAAAGCATGCCACCGGCACAAGTGGCTCTCCGTGAAATTGCCAGAGGCAAGACAGTCAGACCGAACGACGTTATCTCATATATTGTGACCAACGGGGACTCGGAAACCTCATCTTTGCCTCCTGCGAAGCGATCGTACAGCCCGCAGGATGTGCTGAAGCCCGATTCAGGGCTCAAGCCCGATGTTGAGTTCTACATTCTCAAGCAGATCTTCCCTCCCATCGAGCGTCTCTGTGCCCCGATTCCCGGCACTGATGCCGTCCGTCTCGCTGAGTGCTTGGGTCTTGATACTCGGAAATACCAGATCAATACGTCTAGTTCCAACACTCAACAAAATGCCGAGATCACCCCGCTCGAGTCCCAAATCCCGGACTCGGTTCGGTTTGCCAATTCCACGCGACTTACGCTAAGATGCCGATACTGCAAAGAACAGTCTGTTTATGAGGGTTTGGTGACTTCATCGCACATGTGCACTGCTCACGGAATTATTTGTCCGAACCAGAGCTGCCAGAAACCTTTTTCAGTCATTACAATTGTCGCGCAATTGGAGAACCAGATTCGCGAACAGACCTCCCGATACTATGAAGGCTGGTTGGTATGTGACGATTCGTCATGTGGCAACCGGACACGGCAAATCAGCGTTTATGGACACCGCTGCTTGGGTCCCCGAGGTCGTGCCGAAGGCTGCTTAGGCCGCATGTCATACGAGTACTCGGAGAAGGAGATATATAACCAGCTCCTGTACTTCGCTGGTCTCTGGGATGTTGAGAAAGCCAAGGTCGCTGCTGAGAAAGAGACGGGAGAAAAGAAGGACAGTGTTGCCGCCCTTGCCGAGTTCAATCGCACAAGATTCGGTACAATCAAGGGGGTGGTCGACAGCTACCTCAAGAAGTGTGGTCGCCAATGGGTTGAGATGGATGGTCTCTTCCGCTTCATGTTACAATAGATGCCTCTGTGGCATATGATTTTAAATGTTTGTAAATACCTAGGGATATTGGAGTCGGGGAAAGTTAGCATGGCCATAATCAAATCGAATAGCATATCTTAAGGTCTTCAAGTGTTCTTGAGTGGATGTTGAGTCCATTGGGTCCATTTCATTTCAACATCTTTCTTATCTATCTTATCACAACCCCCCAATTCTCTGGCCACCCCACTCCGTCATTCTTCACTTCAGTTTGATCGCTAGTGCAGAGCAGATATCCCTGCTTATTTTCTGATTGGCTCTTTCAATCATGTCTGTTAAAAGGGTTCTGGTCATTGCAGGATCAGACAGCTCAGGCGGCGCGTAAGTCTAGATATCTTCCCCGCGAAACTGGCTAGGGGAGAAAAAAAGCTGTATCCCGTCAACTTATCTCCAAAGCGATAATTGAGCTTATATCCCCGGTGTCTGTGGTGTTTCGTGATATGGAGAAACTCTAACACATTATAGAGGTCTTGAAGCTGATCAACGGGTCCTCGGGGCCCATGGGTGCTATGCTCTCACTGCCACCACTGGGTTGACGGCACAAAACACACTCGGCGTGCAAGACATCTTCGTTGTGCCCTCGGAATTTGTGAGAAAGCAGATCAATGCTGGACTGGAAGACGTTGGTGCCGATGTAGTAAAACTGGGTAAATCATTTGCATTTCATGACTCTTCCTTTTCTTTTATAGAGAACTGATGACCTTTAAGGCATGCTCTCATCTGCTGAGACCATCGATGTCATTGCAGAGACACTGCAAGCCCACAAAGTCCCTTTAGTCGTTCTGGATCCGGTATGCTCAATTTTCTACTGGTAAGTTGTCACTCTAACACACATCAACAGGTCATGGTTTCCACCAGTGGCTCTCAGTTGCTACCCGAAAAAGCAGTGAAGGGATTACGGACAAAATTGCTTCCTTTGACCACAATCCTGACACCAAACATCCCCGAAGCTCTTCTTTTATTGAAAGATGCTGGGGAAGAGACCCCCGAGCCAAAAGATCTAGAGGGAATGATTGAGCTTGCCAAGAAGATATGCTCATTGGGCCCCAAGTCGGTTCTCCTCAAGGGAGGTCACCTTCCTTTGACCAAAGACCACAAGACATCTCAAGACCCGAAAGAAGGAACTTTGGTTGTGGATATCCTCTTTGACGGGACGACAGCTACCTTGTTCGAGACAGAGTTTTTGGTGTCCAATAATACCCACGGCACGGGCTGCTCACTTGCTTCGGCAATTGCTGCAAACTTGGCTTCGGGCAAGGACATGATCAGAGCGGTCCGGAGCGCCGTGCGATTTGTTGAGGTAGGTATCAAGACAAGCATTGACCTAGGTAAAGGGAGTGGGCCAATCAATCATTTCCACTCCACTTACACCATGCCATTTGCGCCGTAGGTGCCCCATCCCCTGAACCTTTGGTTTTCTTGGTTCTAATGGCATGGTATCTAGCGGCCGTTTCATTGAATACCTCTTGGACCGCCAGGATGTGCAGCAAGTATGGCAGCACTTCACGCACCATGAGTTTGTCGAAGGCATGGGCCAGGGCACGCTGCCTATTGAACGCTTTAAGGGGTACCTTGTGCAAGATTATCTCTACCTGGTGAGACAGTGATCTTCAATGCGGTTGCATGGAAACATTCAACTTATTGGAATTCAATATAGGTACAATTCGCCCGAAGTAATGCACTTGCATCATACAAGGCCAAGACCATGGACTTAATAGCAGCGGTAAGTGCCTACGCCCATTATGCTTGTTTCTATCAACATTCTAACACAATCAATGCAGTCTGCCCAGATTGTCCTCCACATCCAGCGGGAAATGGCATTGCACATCGATTACTGTGCCTCCTTTGGCCTTTCCAAGCAGGAGATGGAAGATACACCAGAAACTATCGGTAAGCCGGTCATGCTCCTTGACAAGCTTGACAGATGTGCTAATCTCAATATGTATAGCTTGCACCGCATACAGCCGATACATTTTGGATGTAGGCCAATCAGAGGACTGGCTAGCCCTTCAAATGGCCCTCGCACCATGTTTGATCGGATATGGAGCCATTGCAAGACGGCTGCATACGGGAGAAAAGACCCTCCGAGAGGGGAACACTTACTGGAAATGGATCGAGAATTATGTTGCCGACGACTATACGGAGGCTGTACGACTGGGTTCAGGTGAGTCAAATGAAGAAAATATTAGCAAAATATCCCACTAATCCATCTTCTATCACAGCATTGCTGGAGGATCACATGCAACATGTATCTCCAAGTCGCATGGAAGAACTGATTAAGATCTTTGTTCGAGCTACGGAATTAGAGATTCGTTTCTGGGATATGGGCCTCGGAGGTAGGTAGAGATGTTAGTTTACTATATAGTTACACTAGTCTCATCAAAAGAATTGTCTTGAAAGTCATCAAGATATTTCCAGCATGATTCAATAATTCACCCAAAAACATCACAAGCGTTGACTTGGTTGAATTTCCCTTTCAACCTGCCATATTTGCCTCTCTCTAAGAGGTTCTGGAAATCTACCACTTCGCTCTCCAAACACATGTCGCCACTCTTTCATAGCAGATCTCAGTTTTGCCTCCTTTATAACCATGGACCTTGCGATGCCTGGCGCAAATCTAAAATCTTCTAAAATTTTCTAAAGTTCTGCCTGAGGTTGAGAGAAGTGACCAATCAGAGAACAAACCCTGTGATAAGGATGAAAGCGGCGAGTGGCGATTAAGCCTATTTAGGCAGGCGGTTGGCAAAGTGCCTGAGCCAGATCTGGTCATGTGATGGAGAAAATACAAAGAGAGCTAAGCCTAATTGATTTTTTGCTCGCGCCTCCCCTGGCTTTTTTATTTTTTTTCTCCTTCCCTTTTCTTTCAAAGTTCCCGACCTTTTCTCACCTTCAACTTTCTCTTCTCTCTTTATTCCTGTCTCTATTTCCCTTCTCTAATACCCTCTCTCTCTCTCACAACCTTTCGCAGACTTACATTATGTCGTACGGAGGTGGCTACTCTCGCGGTGGCGGCGGTGGTGGTGATTCCTACCGGTAAGTTGATTCTCGCAGTGACTTTTGTCGCGCCTATCCTGTCAAATGCATGGCTTGCTGGTGAACAACCTCGAACATGCAGCTGTTTGCAAGGGTGTTGGGTCTCGAATTTTGAGTCTCTTGACTCAGTTCTGGCTTGATTTCTTAACCAAACAACCACCGCATTTCGTAAGCAGAATTCGTGCTGACTTTGAGATTTTAGCTCCCGTGGAGGTGACAACGGCGGCTACTCTAACGGTGGCTACGGCGGTGGCCGTGGAGGTGGTAGCGGCGGTTACGGCGGTGGCTACGGCGGCGGTGGTGGTTACGGTGGTGGTGGTGGTGGTTATGGCGGTGGTGCCGGCGGTGATCGCATGAACAACCTCGGCGCTGGCCTGAAGACCCAAGACTGGGGTAAGTTAATGCCAACAAACGTGTTGATTCGTGTAATACTAACTTTGGTTCCACATAGATCCCAGCACCATGCCCAAGTTCGAGAAGTCATTCTACAAGGAGCATCCTGATGTCACTGCGCGCTCTGAGGAAGATATTCAAGCCTTCCGCAAGGAGAAGGAGATGGCTGTTCAGGGTACCAACGTGCCCCGTCCCGTCAAGACCTTCGACGAGGCTGGTTTCCCTGCTTACGTCCTGTCCGAGGTTAAGGCCCAGGGCTTCGAAGCTCCTACTGCTATCCAGTCCCAGGGTTGGCCTATGGCTCTCTCCGGCCGCGATGTTGTGGGTATTGCCGAGACTGGTTCCGGCAAGACTCTGAGTTACTGTCTCCCTGCTATCGTTCACATCAACGCTCAGCCTCTCCTCGCCCCCGGCGATGGTCCTATTGTTCTTGTTCTGGCTCCTACTCGTGAGTTGGCTGTCCAGATTCAGGCCGAGATTACCAAGTTTGGAAAGTCCTCCCGTATCCGCAACACCTGTGTCTACGGTGGTGTCCCCAAGGGTCCTCAGATTCGTGACCTGTCTCGCGGTGTTGAGGTTTGCATTGCTACTCCCGGCCGTCTGATCGATATGCTCGAGGCTGGTCGCACCAACCTTCGTCGTGTCACTTATCTCGTTCTTGACGAGGCTGATCGTATGCTCGATATGGGTTTCGAGCCCCAAATTCGCAAGATCATTGGCCAGATTCGTCCTGATCGTCAGACTTGCATGTGGTCCGCCACCTGGCCCAAGGAAGTTCGTCAGCTCGCTTCTGATTTCCTCAGCGACTACATTCAAGTCAACGTTGGTTCCACCGACCTCTCCGCCAACCACCGCATCACACAGATTGTCGAGGTCGTTTCCGACTTCGAGAAGCGCGACAAGATGATCAAGCATCTTGAGAAGATCATGGAGGACCGCTCCAACAAGTGCATCATTTTCACTGGCACCAAGCGTGTTGCAGATGAGATTACCCGATTCCTTCGCCAGGATGGCTGGCCTGCGCTTTGTAAGTTTCCCATGGGTTCCCCACTCGTACATGTGCACGGTACTAACATATCCCCCCTAGCCATCCACGGTGACAAGCAGCAAAACGAGCGTGACTGGGTCTTGAACGAATTCAAGCAGGGCAAGAGCCCCATCATGGTGGCCACTGACGTGGCTTCGCGTGGTATTGGTATGAACAAACTACATCCCTCCTTCCTTTTCCCTTCCCCTCCTTTTGTCCCTCCTTAAGGGGCCCTTTAAAACACTCACCCGTGTTGACGTTGTGCGATACAATGGCACGGTGCTCAACTCTCTCGAGGCACGTCGGTGTATATGTATACGCCGCGTCCAGGCGCATCTGGTCATCCTAAATGGTTCATATGCCAAGAGGACCTTGGACTCACAGTGCAGCACAGCAGCAGGCATTCTAGCCTGACTTTGATTCTCCATCTCTTGTGTGACAGGCTCTTATGAGAGTCGAAGTTTTTTTTTCACACAGCGTTGTTCTTGAACTGTTGAACTGTTGAAGGCTGTATTTCCAAGGTTGCTCTAGGACCACGATAACACCGCCATCCCATGGATTCGCTTCCCTTGGGATTTTCTTAACAGAAACCCATCAAGAGAGCAGTGATGCATCAAGTCCTGCACGACGGAGAGAGGGTCCTTCATGGCCATACTCCTCATACCCCCACTAATGTTCTATTTGCTAACGAAATATCTCTTCAAAAGATGTGCGCGATATCACTCACGTGCTCAACTATGATTACCCCAACAACTCGGAGGACTATGTCCACCGTATTGGTCGTACCGCTCGTGCCGGTGCCAAGGGTACCGCCATTACTTTCTTCACCACTGACAGTAAGTTTGCCATCCAGGTTTCAAGGCATCAGCGAGTTGTACTAACCTTCCTTTCTCCAGACTCTAAGCAGGCTCGTGACTTGGTTACTATCCTCACCGAAGCTAAGCAGCAGGTCGACCCCCGTCTTGCCGAGATGGTTCGCTACGGTGGCGGCGGCGGTGGTGGTCGCTGGGGTGGCCGTGGACGCGGTGGTGGTCGTGGACGTGGTGGCTACGGCGGCGGCGGTGGTTTCACTGCTTCCAACGCTGCTCCCGTCGGCGGCAACCGCCGTTGGTAGATGCCTCGGTACTGCTCCTTGTGCAGTCAGTCGCATTGCCCTGTATTCTGCTCTTCCGGTAGACTCTTTCTCGTTCCTTTTGACTTCATGCGTAACTCGGGAAGGACGGCGTTATTTTTGATGTCATAGATAGTTTTTTTCTCTTTTTCTTCCATCCCTATGCTACCAGGGATTTTTCACGGTCACGGATCTTGATTCAATAACTGGGATTCTAGAAGTTGAATTCTCATGATGAATCCATACATGTTGATTAATTTCAAAAGTTTCATGTCTCAGAGAGTTTGCCGAAGTCTCTGATTTCTGCAATAATGATTATTCTTTACACATTTCACTGAGGGCTTCTTTCACTCCTCACTCAGCCAGAACCAGACGCGTTGACAAAGATAAGCTTAGGAATGATGCACGTAGCTATTACCTAGACCCAATCCACACACACTATGCCTGTAACAACAACCTTTCCACCTCGGCTGCCAAAACTTCATGTACATGGCTAGTCATATGACCTGCATTGAACCAGAAATACCGCTTCAGCGGCGTCGGGCATCCGTACTTCTCATACTCAACCGAAATATCCGGCTGATCATACCCAGCACAGAAGTTCGTCGTATTCACGATGCCATACTTATAGGGCTCATCAAGCATAGCCGTTAGCCTCGCATGGGCGTCAAAAAGCATAACCTGCGCTTCCTTATGCTCTTCCGCAAATGCAGCCGCATGATCCGCCAGTGCGGCATTATACCACCCAACCTGTGTGGCGTTCGGACTTGGGTTGTTCTTTGCTTGGTTCCCTGGCGTGCGGTCTAGAGGAGGGAGGTTCATGAAGAGATAGCTTCTATAGCCCAGGCTGTAGAGGGTCTCTACAGATTCGAAGAGTATGTCTGTGAGGTTTTGATAGAAAGTTGGAAAATCGACGCCGTATTTGGCACTGTCGTTGATGTCGTTGATGCCGATCCAGAGGGCGATCAGGGTTTGGTCTTGCTTGAATGCTGGCAGGTCGCGTTGGAGGGCTGGGTGGCCGTATTGTTTGAATTGGTTTATTTGGTCTACTAGGGAGACTGTGAAGTTGTGATGAAGGGGTGTGCTTAGTTTCGGTTAGTGAAGATTGTTCGTGTTGAATATATGTGGTATTTGCGCTTACTATTCGGTTGATATGTCGGCACCTGCGAATGCAAAATCCCAGAGTTGTTTTTTGCAGCGCTGTGGTGAGGTGAGGCCTTTGTGAATGCCACAGTGTGTGAGATATTGGACCCAGTTAGGGCCACCTTCTGCGGTTGCGGTCTATATGTATGGAATCAATATCTTATGCTGTGTTTGATTCAATTGTAGGAGACAAGCTTACTTGGTTCTGTACTATCTTGTTGGAAAGCAGAGTTTCGGCATCATAGGCAAGGTTGAATCGGTCTCCAATGAAACTAAAATTTTGGTGCCCGTGGGTTCCCTGGACATAAGTGTAGGAGTCACCGAAGGCAATTCTTTGGTCTATGGTTAGTGTCGCTTGGGAGCCTGGGGCCTCGGTACACATACAGGGCCTTGGTTGATGACCACTCGAATTTGGGTGGTCTTGATAGAGGGTTTGCTTTGACGAAGGGAGTGCCAGACACGATGGCTAGGATCAATGTTGCTAGCAGAAACATTGTGACAAGTGGATGAGTGGACTCAATATACAAAGGAAGATTGCAGATGCGCTATGAGATACTTCTAATATTACAGAATATATAGATCCCTGAGTAGACGGTGTAGTTCATCTAACCCCGCAAATGGTCGGTATTCGGGGTAGTGCTATAGAGCTGACGGAAGATATTTTTCCGTTAATCTATAAGGAGCTTGTGTTGACATTTTGCTATCGTTGGGGAGGAAGGGAAGGGAAATAAGATACTGGACTCGTAGTGCTTATGGAAAGAGGCCGGATATGTTCCTTGGCCTTCGGCATGACACGATATATAGTGTGGAAAGCCATGGAAAGATACTTAGATCTACCCGATTCATCAGGGAGCTCTCACATATCAGACCTTCAGACGAATCATCCGCCAGTATCCGAGAACTTGCACCTTGACCAGTGCACCGGGTTGTCTAAGCACCTCGGACGGTTGTCTTGCGAAGCACTACTATGCACGGCCTCGCTCCGTACAAGTCAACGAGGCAGCCACGAATGTCATCCACAAAGCTCCGATTGCTTCATATAACCCAAAGAAGTATGGTTATCAGCGATAAACGACCTTCAAGTGGAGGGAAATCAAGTGACAGAAAAAGCAAGTATAGGTACTTGCTAGGGTGGGGCGACAAACCTGATACTGAATGCCTCAACCTTATACGGAGTAGGCCTTACCTCATTTGACACAAGTGTATGATGAATCTGCGATCGACGCCGAAATGTACACTAGAATCTACACTAGAGACCCTACGCATACTATCATACTAGGGGTTGATTTCAAACCAGCCGAGATTTTCGCTCGTGCATAGCTCGACATTCAAGCTTTATGCCTAAACGGCCTAGGGTGAGGTTATGTTGTGGGTTTCTTTTTAGTGTTTCACGATATGACAAGCTATGGAATGTAAATATATGTACAGCTACTTGGAGATCAGTGGGGATCAGCCATTGCTCATTTGAGTTTGGTTTTGTATACAAGTTTATACATCCTAACCGTCGTGAATGCTGTTTGGATTGCAAGATCTTTCCCTTCTAGCTACAGATCCTTTCCGATTTAGTACGAAGATGTAAAGTACCAAAAGACCTCTGAGAGCCACGTGCATAATTTCAGGATATTTTTGTGACTACATAGGTGGCACAATTGCCGCTTTCCCGTCATTCAGGACATTCACCCCGAGACTTTGGCTATATCCCAAAAACGAGGTTTCCGCGAGAAACCCACCAAAGCGAGACCTGCATGCACATCAACGCGTGTGCTCTGTACTCCGTACGGGGTATGCAGTCTGGTCAGCATTCACCAACATCCCGCGCATGCATACACCCAAGGTAATCTTAAAGTAGCCGACAGAAAAATTCACCCGAAAGAGCAATACACGATTTGAGGGATGCCTAAGATGGCGATGTGCAGTAGTGCGGGCAACGGACTAACCTTCAAAATGTAAGCAGTGTGCATAAGCGCCTCCCACGTCTTCAAAGTGCCACCACTCCAATCGCAATCAAGAGAATTCATCCGACGATGCACGTCGGAGACGAGAGGGGGTAATTCACGCTTTGGTCCAGATTGAGACGGATCCCTGGATAAATTACCAGCCGCAATGCCCAGACTTGTCTGGCCAACAGGGGGCTGCTCCGGTAGGATGCACTAGTAAGACCACGTTCGCTGTATTAGGCGATAGTGCGCCCCTCAGGGCAAAAAGAAAAAACAAAAAAGATAAAGATCAAAAGAGGCCGTGTGTCTTCTTTCCATTTTTGTTGTCTAGAGCAGGCGTAGAATATGCATGGAAATGTAACTCTACTCAGGTCGGGTCTATGGCTTCTGCTTGGACGGTGTATGCAAATCATGACAATTGAGTCACGGTTATTGGAAATGGAAATGATAGAACCTGGATTGAATTATGCATATAATTAGGGCAATTATAGTGTTTTCACATGTCTTAGGCATGATCAGAGACATGATCTTCGATATAACAATGTGCCACTTTCTTCTCAGATAAATCAATTGGCAGTGTGTCATTTTATATTTTTTGGACTTCCTTGAGATACCTGTCTCGGGATCTGAACCCCTGCAGGAATAAGTCCCATTTATTGGCGGGATCAAGCCTGCCTCCTGCCATTTCAAGATTTCAATATCAAGGTCAAGGTCAAGATCAGTCCCTATTTTAACCGAGGTTTTATCCAGTCTGTATATTTCAGCCTTGACCCCTACGGGGGAACAATCGAAAAAATTGGGAGAAAAAAAAATCAAAGTGAAAAACCGACCCCTCAAGATATCCCGCGGAAATAAACAGCTCAATGATCATCATCCGGGGTGTGCTGATCCGCACAGGTCTCTCTAATCCGATCTGCCGAAGCATTAGCGGGTGAGACTTACTGTCTCCGGCGTAGTCCCCGGCGTAGTCTACTAACTTATCACTGCACTGGCCAGCGAAGTGGTGGAGTCGAGGGAAATTGCGTTTTTTTTTCCTTTCCCAATCTGAGAGCACAGACACCAATTTCTCCGATAGGAACTCGGCAAGGTCGTGGATCGTTGATTTTAGGCTACTCTTTGCATTTATTTTTTTGGGGAATTTCTCATCTATCAACCGGTGGAGGGACTGTTTGCTGTGGGAATAGACGAATGTAGTTGAAGCGGAACTCTGCTTGGAAGGGATCACCGCGTACCAACACCTAGGCTCAGCAAAACCTGATTCTGACGTTCGAGGGAAAGAAAATAGCGAAGCCAAGCCTTTCCTATAATGATCGCCCCCTGAACAGAGCTTACAGCATACAATATACAACATAGGAAAATGACCGGAGAATACCCATATATTGTGCTCCGTACGGAGTTCATAGGCTCGACCAGAACCCTTGTGGGTACATTTCCGCCCTCTTTTTTTACTCCATTAGCCACCTCGTTTAACCTCATTCAGTTGAAATATGCGAGGATATTTTGATATTCCCAAGTTGCATTCAACGTAATTTGCGAGTATCTAATATCCAATATAAGAAGTAACATGCTAACATGGGCCCACGTGCATCCAGTGACACAAACGTCTGCAGGCCCTTGCGAGATTCAATTCAAAGAATTTTTCTCTTTTGATCTCTTTGAACGTCCAAATCCAAAGCCACAGCCGCGAACGGCGCCTTATATCACCCTAAATTAGGAATATGACCTGACCAAAAAAAAAAACAAACAAACAAAAAACAAAACGGGATACTGCCAAGTTCTCAAAATAACCTCTCAATAGATAAATATGCAACCCTGGAGATTTGCGAAATGCAACCAGGCACATGAAAACCGGGGACTGGGGCTTTCGAGTTGATCGTCCGAGAGTACAAAGTACTCCAAGCCAAGGTATTATTGATTGACCTCCGTATTCGTACGGAGTACTCCGTACAGCGCGACTGGATATGGAGCGGCTGCGGCGTCCAATGATTGACGCGCCATTTGAATTTGATATTGATCATCCCGTTCTGCTCTCGACACCGGATATCCCGCAATGGACTTGTGTGTTGTCCGCGCGGAGTCCGCCTGGTTCCACCATGTCGCTTGGAGAACGTCGGGTGTTTGCGATGGATTAATATTTATCCCTGATAAGGTATTGTGTAGAAGATACTGTGTCAGATGCAAATGCGACCCAAAAAAAAATCTCCCACCTCTCTTGCTTTTTCCTCACCGGCAGTGGAGGAACAGGTTCCGCCTGCGGGGGTGAGATCCAGCCCCTGAGAACGCCAATCATCAATTGAAGAAGACAGTGTCAGTTTTCCGAGCTGAGAGCCTTGCATGTTATTTTATTTTATTTTTTCTCTTTCTCTTTCTGACTCGCATTCAGTCTCTGGGTTTAACAGAGTACGGGTGTTTGATCCTCTTTGATTGGGAGGCTGAAGATCGAATCCAATGTAAATACTGTAAGAGGTATACCGTCATCCACTATGGGGTGAGCATTGAGCATACACTGGTCATACCGGAGAGCCGCCGAATATCTCCGCTCGCAATTTAATGTTCGCCGACCAATGGGCGAGACTCTGACTTTCCACGGAAATCCCGCTGGGAAAAATGATGGGCCCCTTTTCTCCTCTTTTCGTGGTATGTGCTTTGGTACTATAATTATCACATGAATCCATACAGAGTACGGAGCCCAGAGTCCAGAGTACAGAATACGTGATGGACAATGGCAGCGATATCAATTGGCAATGTGTATGCGCAGATCAATCTCGCAAGGCCGAGTACCATGGAATTGGAGAGACAGCTAGAACGGAATCAGATTGAAGTTGTTGAATATCAATTTCTAAGAATTTCCGAGATAAGTTCAGATGTCAGGAGATAGGCTCCGATCACCGGGAGTTCTCTTCCCCGCCCACGCGTCTTAGGTATTGTCATGGTTACGCGAGATATCCTCACTTGAAGAGAAACCGAAGAAAGTGGTCCGGCCTATGAAGCTTGTACCGGAGTACGGAGTACTCTCTCAATGGTATATCCCAAGGTTAAGCCTCAGATGTGAACATGGACCAGGGCAGTGTGCATTAACTGTGGGCAGTTTAAAGTACAAAGTACGAAGGATGTCCGTACCGAATACCTGTACTCTGTACTGAAAGTGCAACCCTTGAAGAAGCTATCACCGGCTTCAACCGCCTCGGCTGTGAACCTTTTTCAGACTTTGACGCTAAACTGGAACCAGTCAGGCCTATCCACCGAGCATTTCCATCTGAGCTCCACCACTTTTCTCCTATTGGTGTACGAGGAACCCTTCGTCCACGCTACTGGTCTTCCCGAGTCCCATTTCTTCTTCCCCCGACTTGCGCTACACCCTTTTCTACCCTAGTTCCCTCCCCTCTATACTCCTTTGAGACTCGGTTCCATCTCTTTCTCAAGGTTCCTCGGGCACGCCATTCTTTAGCGCCCATCTTGGTCAGGCTCAAGCCCTCCCCTGGCTCCTCTCTGACATCTTGGTACACACGGGCCATATACGCTAGGTTCTCCCTTGAGTTGCGGGTAGACTAAGAGGCCTCCAGTTGGGAACCTAACCAGTAGTCCTTAGTAAAAAACAACAACACCTGTTGACCTCAATCATGATATTTCATCCATAGTCAACCATTTCGATTAATGAGCAGAAGATCTTGAGAAAAATAGGTTGCCACTTCTCTTCTGGATGGTTCCGCTTTTTTTTTTCCCCCTTTCAAAAATCCAAAAAACCGAACAAAAAAAGTGTTATCACACAGACATGGAAAGCTTAGCCGGTAACGAGGGGAAAAAGGGGGCCAAGTTAAAGTGATTCGGAGGATTGTGTGGAAAAAGGGAATGGGCCGAGATCAAGATCGTTTAATTTCATTTTGATATATTCGAAAATTTCTCTTTTTATACTCCGTACTCTGTATCTTGTATGAATCTGATGTCCTACGCCATGTCCTAATACGGAATAGATACAGGTGAAACTCGGCTGTTATATGGTATTGCATATCTATAAACCATAAAAAAGACATAAAAAAAGAGAAGAAAAAGAAAAAAAAAAAAAGAAATGTAATTTTCAGATGACCAACGATATGGCCAACCAAAATTACCTGGTCCACAGGATCCACAACATCCTCGGATCCCACGAGGATTGCTTTTCCCTTCTCCTAATCGTCTCACCTTTTAGGCCGCTCTAAAGTCGCGTTGACTCCTGACCTTTTTTTATTTCTCTAGCTTCTTTTCCCCGTGGTTTTTCCGCCCCCGGTGCCTCGTGCTTACCGCCACCTGCAAGGCATCCTCGAACTAAGATTAAGCATCTAAGCACCTTGGTATCAACTTCAATTTTTTTTCTTTTTTTGGAAGCTACGCGCTTTCATCCTTGTGTTGTGAATTGTTTTTTCCCCCTCTCTAGCTTCAGATCTCTTATCTCAGCATCTGTGGCGCAAACCTGTTTGATCAGTGTTTCGCGACTCAACTTCCACCCCTCATATCAATTCCCTAGGAATTGAACTAAAAAAGAAAAAGGTACGTGAAGAATATAAATCTGGAGGTCAGCCACGATCCCAACGTGGCAACCTAGACTACCGTCCCTTGCTTGAAACGTGTCGGACCGACTCGTCAATTTCCCCGACTTTTTTTTCCAAGGCTCATTGTTGTCTCGACGCGTCTCCACACAGGTCCAACACACAAACCTCTTTTTCATAGATTCGTCGGCATCTTTGCGCGCGAATCTTTTCTTTTATGGACAACCGGCCCGCTTCCGAGTACGCACAGCCAGGTTCGCACCACCCAGACACCGTGACCGACGCACCTTCTGAACAAAAGCCTGCAGACCAATCTGCTGCTGCTGCTCACTACACCCCGCAACCCGAGGTCCGACCTACGCCGCAGTACACCCCACAACCTGAGGTTCGACCCAATATTTCGTCGGCCAACACCCCTCAGTCGGATTACGGTCTGAACCCTCCGCCGACCGCCCGCTCGCCTGCCTACCAGGACTACCTTCACCGTCCTCCCCAGTCCTACACCCCCAACTCCCAACCCGGTGGCACGGCAGGTATGGCTCAAGCAACAAGTCCGTTCAACACCTTGCCTACGGGCCCGCGCAGTCCGCACTCCAAGTCTGACGCGCCCGTTCCTATAGATCCTTCGCTTCCGGCCAACAGCCCCACCTATCCTCCTCCCTACTCTCCTTATCAGCCTCAGGGGCATGAGATGGCGCAGTACCAGGGTCATCCCCCTCCGCCGCAGCATATGTACGCGCGTCCGGATTGGCCTCATAGCTATGGACAACAGCATCATGGATTGCCGGGGCCCTATGCTTCCCCGGCCACAACGGTTGGTTCCACCTCTCCTGCACTAGGGCGACGCGATTCAAAGGTATGTTTTTGATGATTCCTGGGGGATTACCTGAAGGCTTTTTACTTTGTTCAATCATTGTTGTCTTGGATGCCTCCGGGGTTGACTCAGCAGTCCGTGGGTCACTGTCCTAGGGATTGTCAAAAACAGCGTGTCTTTGCCCCTCAACCGCCTCCTTCCGAGATGGAATTGGGAGTGATGAGTTTATTGGGTTTGATCAAAGCTAATTCATTTGATTTCATCTAGGTCTACTCATTTGTCCCAATTCCTGGCGCACAGCAGCATAAGCGTCCTCGTCGTCGTTACGAGGAAATTGAGCGCATGTATAAGTGTGGATGGAACGGATGTGAGAAAGCATACGGTACTCTCAACCATTTGAACGCACACGTGACCATGCAATCGCACGGTGCGAAGCGTACTCCTGAGGGTAGGTTCATCTCATTTTCCTTGGTTTTAGATGTTTATTGGCCCATGCGACTGAGATCTTGGGATCTTTTGTCGCAAATGGCTAGATCGGGTTAGCGCCGGCCGTTGGACGCTAGTGAGTTACACTAGATGTCGCGGGGCCCGCAGTAGCGTGGTCGACGGCGTGGAGTTTAAGCTTGCCTCTTATGCCTACCCGTTGTCCCCTCGCTAGCACGCAGAGTCCCATACTGGTTCCCATTTTGGCAAAATTGGTTTTCACTACCCAAGTTCCCTGCTGACCATACTTTAGAATTCAAGGAAATCCGCAAGGAATGGAAGGCCCGCAAGAAGGAGGAAGAGGCCCAGCGCAAGGCTATTGAGGAGCGTGAGCGTGCTGCTGCTCAGGCTGCCCAGGCCAATCAGGTCGAACCTCCCAACTCCTCCGACCCATCCCACGGACAGCCGCCTGCTTACGCCGGTGGAGTCCGCCCTCAACTCCCTCCGATCGGATACCAGCCGGCGGATAGCCAGGTCCCCAGCCAGTACGGGGGTCCTCCTCCTGGCGGTGGCATGGTCTACCAGAACAACGGACAGATGGCCTACCCTCCCAACTACCCTCACTCTCCCTACCAGAGCGGACCGGTGTACCCGCAACGTGAGTAATGTCGCAGCCTCTTCTCTCTATACCAGGATCGACCCTCTGGACTTCTCTTTCGACAAGGGCATCCTCGCCCGACCTGTCTGCTGATGCATGAATTCGCTACGGCTTCCAGAGACTCAATCCACCAACTATCCGCAATAATCTTCCCCTCATAATCACGTCTTCCGCCATGGACCTACACGGATGGAAATGCATTTGCTTTTTCTCTCTCCTCACGATATCCCCTGTCCTTGACTAATGTCCTCGTCCTGGATTCCGATTCCCATCCCCCCCCACCACATCATTTCCACTCCCAATTATTTCGTGCTATGATACCAACCTCTGCGACTTTTAATCCTGAATCTGTCTAAGAGTGGCTTTTCCAGCTTTGTTCTATACCTGTCATCCTTTTTGTGTTAGAGTGCATCGAGCTGAGAGGGTGTGCTGCCCTTCTGCCCCTTATCTCTGTTCTGTTTCCTACTTGAAATTTGATGCAGAAGCGGTGTATGTCTTACCTTTGTTTGCCCGTTTGCTGGGCTGTGGTTTCAAGAGTGGTTGGGCGATGGATTATTCGCATCTGTTCATTATTGACAGCATTCTCCCAAAATCGTTTCCCCGGGGGCTCTTTGTCTTAGTTCTGTTTGTTTGTCATCTCCTTTGGTCTATCTTAACTTTGCTACATGCAAGTATGCTCTCTTTATCTCCTCTCTCTTGTTTCCATTTTCTTTTTATAACGTACATTACGCTCTACGGGGTCATGCTCCAATCTGATTATGTGTATTATTCATTTCCATTTGTTCCTTTGCCTCTTTCGTGAATCATCAGCAATAAGCTTGAGTATTGGTTATTCTCGCTGTCTTCTGTAGTGTACTACATACCTGAGAACAATCTATGTGACTAATGCTACAATTTTCACTAACACGTAAACAAGGT